TGATGCCTTGAACCTTGTCATTGAAAAAATGTGCAAACTCATTACATTTACGTTTGGAAGTTAGCTCTAATGGCATTTGAACAGGGGGGTTTGTTAATCTATTAACTGTTGAAAACAGAACACGCAGATTGTTGCTGCAGCCTTCAATCATTTCAGAAAAATACCTTTCTCTCGTACTACGTAGCACCTGGTTAAACTCGCACAACTTATCTTTGAAGATCTCGTAATCAACCTGGAGGAACAATCTAAAAAGTTAAAAATAGTAATATTCAGCAACTTCAGGTCACAGCAGCAGAGGTGGAGGTTCAGACCATTTTCTCTGCTCTGGTCCAAAGTAAAATGCTATATGCAACAATGAGAATTATTGGAACAATTGTGGAGCTAAACCCAAAGTTGACAAAGCTAAGAATGACAATAGGAGTGAAATAAGGCCACAACTAAATGTTCTGAAGACTTCAAACCGCTTTTTACCCCTTTCTGAAACAACAAAGCCGCTAACAACTGCAGCGCCTCCACCAAGGACAAACTGTGTCCTTATCGGAGATGGTTCGGTGAAAAATGTAAACATGGAGTCCATGCTCACTGTCTCAGTTCACTCTGCAAAAGTTGCTGAGATAAGGACTCTCCTGCCTAAAGTGTTATCTGAGAACAGTGGTGTGCGTACATTATTGATCCACACGGGGGCGGTAGATATCTATGAGAAGGCAAGCGAGAAGTTACGAATGGATTTAACGCTGTTACTGGATGACCTCAAGAAAATGGACATAACAATTTTCCTTAGTGGCCCACTTCCAAATATAGATGGAAAAATGGAGAAGTTTAGCCGTCTGTATCAGCTAAATACATTCCTACTCAATGAGTGTTCACGCAGAGGACTTGGCTTCATTGAAAACTTTAACCTGTTCTGGAATAGGCACGAGCTTTTTGAAGAAAAAGGCCCACATCTGAACAACTACGGAGTAAAAGTGTTGATGGATAACTTTACATCTGCCCTAAGACCTCAGCCTGCGCAGCGCGTGCAGCCGTCGAAAGGGAGAAAGAAGAAGCAAAGGGCACAGACATCACGACCATCTCCACCGACTCCCGGGGTCTCTGCACCCCCACCGCCTCAAAAGAACTCCACACCTCCACGATTCAAGAAGAACTCAACACCCCCAAGGTTCCAAAAGAACTCAACACCTCCACGGCTCCGAAAGAGCTCAACGCCTCCACCACCAGCATCATCAGCAGCTGCCACATCTTCATCAGCGCCATCAGCATATACAGCACCACCAGCAGCAGTGGATACAGCCGCAGCAGTGGCTGCTCCATCATCTTCTGTCCTCCACTCGTTACCTGTATTAATGGCACCTGTTTGAACTCCTTATCTGTATAAAAGACACCTGTCCACAGCCTCAAACAGTCACACTCCAAACTCCACTATGGCCAAGACCAAAGAGCTGTCAAAGGACACCAGGAAAAGAATTGTAGACCTGCACCAGACTGGGAAGAGTCAATCTACAATTATAATGCATTGGTTTTATATAGCGCTTTTTTGGACACTCAAAGACGCTTCACATGTCATTATTCTTTCACTCCATACACAGTGGTGATAAACTACTACTGTAGCCACAGCTGCCCTGGGGCACACTGACAGAAGCGAGGCAACCAGTATGCGCCATCGGCCCCTCCGACCACCACCAACCATTCACACACAAGACTCATTCTAGGCAATGGGGGTGAAGTGTCTTGCCTAAGGACACAACGGCAGTTTGGCACTTTACAGCCGCAGCCGCCCCACTGTGGCTGCTGTTCCCAGAGGTGACTGGGTGTCTTGCCAAGGACACAACGACAGCAGACAGTGGGAGTCGATGGTGAAGGTCGGGCTCGAACCCACGACCCTCTGGCTCAAGGGCCAATGCTCTACCAAGCGAGTGATGCGTCTCGCAGGTCTCCGCTAAAGTTTAAAAGTCATGTGTGTGGAGCTGATGCCAAGGACCAGCAGCACAAACATGTTTCATGTGGTTTGGCTGGAGCCGTGTGACACAGAGGAGCGCGACAGACCGGTATGTGTGTGTACAATACATGTATGTATGTATGCTTCGCAGCCACTGGTAGTCTAGTTAGAGGAGAGACCCGGCTGGGGCCCTGTCGTGAAGCCACCTGTGCCATCCCCTTAGTGATAACACAAAGAATACATTACAGAAAAACATCTGGAGTTAATCAGTCTAATCTGGAAAATCTCATTCTTGTTCCGTGTAAGAATCAGCCGACCACAACCGCTGATACTGAAACTTTGAAACTTGCTACGCTTAATGTCAGATCTCTTTGTAACAAGTCTTTTTTAATCAATAATTGTACTTGTTATCATAATCTTGATCTTATGTTCATGGCTTGACCAAAATACAGGAAATGCAGTTTTAATAGAAGCATCACCACAAAATTTCAAAGTTGAATCTGAATTGAATCTGAAAACAAAAAAGGAGGAGGCTTAGCTGCCATTTTTAGAGACCACTTTGTCTCCCATAGAATGCCTCTTGGGAAGTTTTCGTCATTTGAATATGTGTCTTTTAAAATACAACAAAAACAATCTCCTCCAATACTCTTCATTGTCCTATACAAGCCACCGCAGTCATGTCACAGTTTTATTGATAATTTTACCGAGTTGCTTTCAGTTCTATGCACTGATTTTGATAGTTTAGTTATTACAGGTGATTTTAATATTCATGTGGATAATGTTGATGACAGAAATGCAAAAGAGCTAAGTTCTTTACTTGAATCCTTTGATCTCACTCAGCACGTAAGTGGCCCCACCCACAGCAGAGGGCACACTCTAGACCTGTTAGTTACTAAGGGGGTGAATATTTCAAATGTAAATGTGGTCGATGTTGCTCTTTCGGATAATTTCTGTGTATTTTTTGACATGTGTTTTACTAACAAACCACCAGAAGACGCTGCAGTTGTTCGAAGAAGGCGCATAAATGAAAATACGAGTGATCTATTTATGGGAATGATAAACTTTGAGAATGCATCGTGTTCTACTGTAGATGAACTGTTTAACTCTGTCACCTCTAGTGTTTTGAATTTTCTGGATACCGTTGCCCCTGTGAAGGTTAAAATAGTGAAAAATAAGCAGAAGGTGCCGTGGGCTAAAGCAGACTCGGTCAGGGCACAAAAGAGAGAGTGCCGGAGGGCCGAGCGGAAGAGGCACAAGTCCAACCTCCAGGTTGATTACGAGATCTTCAAAGATAAGTTGTGCGAGTTTAACCAGGTGCTACGTAGTACGAGAGAAAGGTATTTTTTCTGAAATGATTGAAGGCTGCAGCAACAATCTGCGTGTTCTGTTCTCAACAGTTAATAGATTAACAAACCCCCCTGTTCAAATGCCATTAGAGCTTACTTCCAAACGTAAATGCAATGAGTTTGCAATTTTTTTCAATGACAAGGTTCAAGGCATCAAAAACGCCATTGTCTCCAATCCACAGATAACCATCCAACACCCAGAAAGGCTCTCTGAGCTAACTCACTTTGCACCTGTAGATGATAAAACTGTCCAAGAGATAATCTCCAGTCTGAGCTCCTCCACATGCAGCCTGGATGTACTACCCACTAGATTTCTGAAGTCTGTTCTGAGCAGTCTGTTACCTTCACTCACACAGATAGTAAACATGTCCCTTCATTCTGGAATATTCCCAAAGGCCCTGAAAACTTAACAACTACTTAACAACTACTTACTTACAATTTTTTTTTTTAAACCCGGCATAAGGTCTTTAAGGTTACAAACGATATCCGGCTGAACACTGAGTCTCAATCTTAATCTTGTTAGATCTGAGTGCTGCCTTTGACACTGTCGACCATGAGATCCTCTTACAGAGACTAGAGGACTGGGTTGGCGTCGCTGGCACCGCCCTAAGTTGGTTTAGATCTTACCTTGAAGACAAGAAGTACTTTGTGGAGATTGGAAACTGTGTCTCAGATCATATGGCCCTGACCTGTGGAGTACCACAGGGGTCGATCCTGGGACCTCTTCTGTTCAATCTCTACATGCTGCCGTTAGGTCAGTTAAAGCTGCACTAACTGACTTTGGGATTTTGAAGCCGCGGACTCGCTGGCCTCGCTCTTTCTGCTCCCCTCCCCGCACCCACGAAGCTATCGCCCCCCACACACACCCACTGTTGTTGACGAAGCTAGCGTCTTCCAATATGGATAAACCATGGATATGGATTTGCACGTGGATGCCGTGACCATAGAACGATAGAACCAGGAAGCGCGGAGGAACGAGACTTTCTTTTGGATGGCTGTCTCGCTGTGTAAGCAGTAACCGTGACGAAGACACACGAAGCTTCAGGTTAGCTCCGCCACTTGTTGTGCTAACTCTAACGCGGGCTAGTGGTCCGCTGTGATTGGTCACAATCTGCGACCCGAAACACATTCTCTTCCTTGTTTCATCAAAACTCAATCTAAAATATTATGTTACGCCAGTACAAATCTGCGCTACTTTTTCTTCAAAAGGACGTATATCCCAATGCCCTACATGGACATGGATAGCATTTTCGTAATGAATACAAAAATAAAGTCAGTTAGTGCAGCTTTAATACGCAGAAACGAAGTTTCCTATCATAACTATGCAGACGACACTCAGATCTATGTCTCACTGATTGCAGGAGAACATGGACCAGTAGACTCACTCCTTCACTGTATCCAACAGATCAGTGAGTGGATGCAAAACAACTTCCTTCAGCTAAACGCAGACAAAACTGAAATGATTGTCTTTGGTCCCCAGAAACAAAGAGAGAGCGTCATCTGTCACCTCCAGTCTCTCTCCCTAAAACCTTCAAACAAGGTCAGAAATCTAGGGGTAATACTGGACTCAGACTTACATTTTAATAGCCACATCAAATCAGTAACATCAGCAGCTTTTTACCATCTAAAAAACATTGCCAGGATCAAAAACATAGTGTCTAAAGCAGACTTGGAGATTCTTATCCATGCATTTGTCTCCAGTAGGTTAGACTACTGCAATGGCCTGCTCACAGGTCTGTCCAAACAGGCTGTAAAACAGCTGCAGTACATTCAAAATGCAGCAGCTCGAGTCCTGACAAGAACCAGGAAGTACGACCACATTAGTCCAGTTCACAGGTCTCTGCACTGGCTTCCTGTGGCTCAGAGAATAGACTTTAAAACAGCTCTGCTTGTGTACAAGTCTCTCCATGGCCTCACACAAAAATATATTAGTGACATGTTAGTACCATACAAACCAGCCCGGACTCTGAGGAGCACAGGGACTGGACTCCTGTTAGTGCTCCCCTTTTTCTCTTTTTTAACCAACAGCTTTGACCGGTTAATGCTGTGACGGTCAACCACCGGTTAAACGGTCACCGATTTACATCCCTAGATTGGGAGAATGTCATGTGGCCAGATGAAACCAAAGTAGAACTGTTTGGTATAAACTCAACTCGTGTTGAATACTGAGTTGCATCCCAAGAACACCATACCTACTGTGAAGCATGGGGGTGGAAACGTCATGCTTTGGGGCTGTTGTTCTGCTAAGGGGACAGGACGACTGATCCATGTTAAGGAAAGAATGAATGGGGCCATGTATCGTGAGATTTTGAGCCAAAACCTCCTTCCATCAGTGAGAGCTTTGAAGATGAAACGTGGCTGGGTCTTCCAGCATGACAATGATCCCAAACACACCGCCCGGGCAACGAAGGAGTGGCTCCGTAAGAAGCATTTGAAAGTCCTGGAGTGGCCTAGCGAGTCTCCAGACCTCAACCCCATTGAAAATCTGTGGAGGGAGTTGAAAGTCCGTGTTGCTCTGCGACAGCCCCAAAACATCAATGCTCTCGAGAAGATCTGCATGGAGGAATGGGCCAAAATACCAGCTACTGTGTGTGCGAAACCTGGTAAAGACCTACAGTAATCGTTTGACCTCTGTTATTGCCAACAAAGGTTATATTACAAAGTATTATGTTGAATTTTTATTATTGACCAAATGCTTATTTTCCACCATAATTTAAAAATAAATTCTTTAAAAATCCTACAATGTGAATTCCTGGATTTTTTTTTCACATTCTGTCTCTCACAGTTGAATTGTACCTATGATGAAAATTACAGACCTCTGTCATTATTTTAAGTGGGAGAACTTGCACAATCAGTGGCTGACTAAATACTTTTTTGCCCCACAAAAAGAATAAAGAATATAGAACACATGTTAAAAAAAAAAGGTCATACATGTTTTAGAATGTTAAAGTGTCCTGGATCATCACCACATCCTTCTAGTTGGACACTAACTGTCCGGCGAGGAAAAACTCAAAAGAAAACCCAGTGGGAAAAAGAGAGAAACCTCACTCACAGAGAAGCTAAGAGAAGGGAAGGCGGGACTTACCCGTAACATTATAATTCATTAAATGACTTATTTTACTTATTTAATACAATTCTTATAATGTGTAATTAATTTAGAGTTCCAGACTATCACTTTAACAAATATGATTTGATAAATGTCATACGTGTTGATAAATGTCATACATGTTGATAAATGTCATACATGTTGATAAATGTCACACATGTTGATAAATGTCATACGTGTTGATAAATGTCATACATGTTGATAAATGTCACACATGTTGATAAATGTCACACATGTTGATAAATGTCATACATGTTGATAAATGTCACACATGTTGATAAATGTCATACGTGTTGATAAATGTCATACATGTTGATAAATGTCATACGTGTTGATAAATGTCATACATGTTGATAAATGTCACACATGTTGATAAATGTCATACATGTTGATAAATGTCATACATGTTGATAAATGTCACACATGTTGATAAATGTCATACATGTTGATAAATGTCATACATGTTGATAAATGTCACACATGTTGATAAATGTCATACATGTTGATAAATGTCATACATGTTGATAAATGTCATACATGTTGATAAATGTCACACATGTTGATAAATGTCATACATGTTGATAAATGTCATACATGTTGATAAATGTCATACATGTTGATAAATGTCATACATGTTGATAAATGTCATACATGTTGATAAATGTCACACATGTTGATAAATGTCATACGTGTTGATAAATGTCACACATGTTGATAAATGTCATACATGTTGATAAATGTCATACATGTTGATAAATATCACACATGTTGATAAATGTCATACATGTTGATAAATGTCATACATGTTGATAAATGTCATACATGTTGATAAATTTCACACATGTTGATAACATGTTGATAAATGTCATACATGTTGATAAATGTCATACATGTTGATAAATGTCATACATGTTGATAAATGTTGCCCCTGCAGCTGGAGACACAAGCATGATACAGAATGATACAAGCCACGAGGTTAAAGTCTGCGTGTTTGTGTTTGTAACACCAGGGGGCCCTGTCTCCTCGGTCTCCTCCTCAGTGGGGGCCACAGGGGGCGCTGTCTCCTCTGTCTCCTCCTCAGTGGGGGCCACAGGGGGCGCTGTCTCCTCTGTCTCCTCCTCAGTGGGGGCCACAGGGGGCGCTGTCTCCTCTGTCTCCTCCTCAGTGGGGGCCACAGGGGGCGCTGTCTCCTCTGTCTCCTCCTCAGTGGGGGCCACAGGGGGCCCTGTCTCCTCTGTCTCCTCCTCAGTGGGGGCCACAGGGGGCGCTGTCTCCTCTGTCTCCTCCTCAGTGGGGGCCACAGGGGGCGCTGTCTCCTCTGTCTCCTCCTCAGTGGGGGCCACAGGGGGCGCTGTCTCCTCTGTCTCCTCCTCAGTGGGGGCCACAGGGGGCGCTGTCTCCTCTGTCTCCTCCTCAGTGGGGGCCACAGGGAGCTTGCAGGTGATAGAAGCACTTCACCTCCTCCACCTCCTCCACCTCCTTCACCTTCAGCTCCTCAAACTTGTGACTGAAACACAAGTGTTTTTGACAAACAACGACACAGAGAACAAGACAATTACAAACCTCGATTCTTTCACAAAAAAACAATGCAAATTAAAGCCGCAAGCGGCATCTAACGGCCCTCGCCGCACCGCGCAAAGGAGGTGGCGCTGACGCGCCATTTTTTCCCCCCCCTGATGGGAGCGACACTGTGTGTTTTGTACCTATGATTAGTGATTGTGTGTGTCTATTGAAAAGGTAAACTGGATTCTCCCCATGTAACACTTGACTCAGGCTCTAGGGGGCGCTATTGCTGCAATTTCATGATTTACACTTTCAGTTTACCCGAACCCGAGAGTTGAACAATCAATTCAAATTTTGTGCAAATCGGACTTTGTATGTGCTAATGGTGTTATTTAATGTTGTACAATAGCGCCCCCTGCAATTTCAATTATTTTTTTGTTATACCAAAGAAAACCAAAATAATACACTTTATGCCTAAAAAATACTTTTGGCAAAGTTTGCTGAGTTTTCGTGTTTGTTAAGTAGGTCAAATATGAGATAAAACCTCAATACTTTTATCCCCATGTAAACCTTTACTCAGCCTGCAGGGGGCGCTAATCAGCAAATTTCATTGTTCACACTGTCATGTGACCTAGGCCCAGGAGTTGAACAACAGAGTCAAGTTTAGTGCAAATCAGAGTTTGTAAATGTGCTCCTGTTTGTACATACAATCTGTGAGTGTGTCCATACAGTCTAACATGGAGATAACATGGGAACTTCACACCTCTCTATGAAAATGACCACACTTTGGGGGTCTGTCACGCTCAGACCGTTTGACTAATTAAAACTCTATATGCAACTATTGATGGTCCATGTGTGGACACCATGTGGAGCGATTTTCAGACAAATTAGGGAAACGGCCGTGGCTGGTTTGATGTTTGAGCGAGGTGTACTTTTCAGAGATTTAACGATTTTCTCATAGACACAGACAGGGGAGTGTTGGTCGTTGCCACGGCAACAGGGTAAAAAATAAGCTTTGGTTGTAATTGACTTTTTGAATCCAGATGACAAAACAGAATTATGTGCAAAATTTCAAACATTTTGACAAAACTAAATTTTATTAGGCCCATGTAAAACTTTGACATAGTCTGTAGGGGGCGCTAATGAGCCAATTTCAATATTTCCACTTTCAAATGACCTAGACCCTGGAGCTGAACAATGGATTAAAATTTGGTGCAAATCCGGCTTTGTTTGTGCAAACGGGGGCAAATTTACTTTTGTCAAAAATCCCCCAAAAAATGTCACATTTTGCCGCTCCGCTGCTCGGACAACGTTTAATTGATCCAAATTCTATATTCAATAATAGATGGGACATGGGTTTAGACCATGTGGAGCGATTTTGAGACAAATCGGTGAAACGGCCGAGGAGGAGATAATTTCCAGCCGACATGTGTGAAAAAGATCAATTTTCATTTTTCCATTTTCCAATTAAATTAATGAGCGTCCTGTTTGTCAGGGGGCGGAGCCATAATAACTTTTTTTTCATGTCTTGACCTGAGGAACATGTGTACCGAATTTTGTGGCTCTACGACAAACTTGACCTTCGACCCCCTCCCATAGGCGCAATGTAAACTGACTTTTGTAGGGGGCGCTGTTCTGACATTCTGACAACACCAAAAAAAATTATTTTTCGCCGGTTCTGAATTTTGGGCAAAATTTCACAACTTTTCATCAATGTTCAGGGGGTCAAATTAAGGTTCAAAGTGCAGAAGAAAAAAGAAATAATAAAAAATAAATAAACCAAACCAAACCAAGGAATTTTTTTTTTAAATCTTCGAGCAAAAACAATATAGGTTTCCATAGTAACCTATAAAACAAATGATACGTCGTTTTAAAGCGAACGACGAGGCGGACGCAACTATTGGGTTCTCGGTGATTGACGAGCGCTGACGCGCTCGTCAATCACCTCGCCATCATGAGGTCACCCACCCCCCCCATAGGACCCCATTCATTACACTGTGTACTACAGAAGGAGCAAAGCCATTCAGTGCCTCTGGCACTGTTTTGTCAGTGTCTGGGCACGCGCCGTCGGGCTTGGGGGACGAATGTCCGGGCTTCGCCCGGACATTCGTCCGTAAGACAGTTGAAGGAACCCCCCTTTAATAGGACTTCAATCATTTCACTGTGTACTACAGCAGGAACAAAGCCATTCCGTGCCTCCGGCACGGATTTATCAGTGCTTGGGCACGTGCCGTCGCGTGCAGGTCACAATCTCCGGGCTGCGCCCGGAGATTGTGACTTATGACAATTCAACGAGTAATGCCTGGGCTTCGCCCAGGCATTACTCGTTGGAAAAGCAATAGGCCCTTACCCCGGTTGGGGCTCGGGCCTAATTATTTTATTATATTAATAATTTAAGTTTATGGAATAATTTCAACCAAGATTTTCAACAAAGTTGCACTAAACAATGGTATTAGAATCATAATATCTCTGTTCTCTCCTTCTGTTCAGAAAAACTGTTTTGTACAATTCAGAAAATGGCTCTGAAACCACAGAATGTTACGTCTGTGCAGACTGTGGGGTCAGAGGTCAGCCCCTGCCCCAGCTCCTGTGGGGTCAGAGGTCAGCCCCTGCCCCGGCTCCTGTGGGGTCAGAGGTCAGCCCCTGCCCCGGCTCCTGTGGGGTCAGAGGTCAGCCCCTGCCCCGGCTCCTGTGGGGTCAGAGGTCAGCCCCTGCCACAGCTCCTGTGGGGTCAGAGGTCAACCCCTGCCCCGGCTCCTGTGGGGTCAGAGGTCAGCCCCTGCCCCGGCTCCTGTGGGGTCAGAGGTCAGCCCCTGTCCCAGCTCCTGTGGGGTCAGAGGTCAGCCCCTGCCACAGCTCCTGTGGGGTCAGAGGTCAGCCCCTGTCCCAGCTCCTGTGGGGTCAGAGGTCAGCCCCTGTCCCAGCTGCTGTGTAAAAGGGAAACCAACCTTTCTCGCTCTCTTATTTATTTATTATTATTATTATTATTATTATTTATTCAAATCAAATCCTTAACTAGGTATAGGATTATACTTTAACTTCTAAAACCCGTCTGTGATACCGTAACAAACATTCGATTTCATTCAGGCTCTATAAAAAGTCTCAGTCTTTGTAGAAAATGTAAGGTCTATAATAATAATAATAATTTGCCGTATCCCCAGTGGATGTACATTTCAGATTAGATAGACTTACATTCTTCAGACTGCTGTGCTCTGATTATTACAGGTTTTCTGACTGTAGTGTTGTTTAGGGGGTGGCGTGGGGTTCTAATACTAATCCAATATCACCCCAGGGGCCAAGATTGTTCATTCGTGGACCGGAGTATGTTTACGTCTGTGCAGGTCAGCAGCATCAGGCTCTGGACACATGTTAGTGTAAGAGTCTCAGACCTGACGATGTCCGGTCTCTGCAGGTGCTCTCGGGCCATGAACTCCAGCACCCAGCCCCGAGTGACCATGGACACCGGCCTGTGCGCCACCCAGGACCCCTGACACACGCCGGCCGGCCCCTGATAGGCAGCGGGCCCCCAGCCTGGCCATGCTGTTGCTCAGGGGCTTTTTCCCTCTGTAGTTGTCCTTCACATACTGCAGCTCTGCGGCCAAACGCCTCAGGCCCAGTCCACTCTCTCTCCGCAAATGGATCCAGGAGAAGAGGGCCTCTAGGAGGCGCTCTGCTGTGTCAGGGGTAGGCGGGTTGCTAAGGTGGTTGCTTGGGCAAGCTTGAGTTTCCCCCGTGAATGAAGGCATCTGATTGGTCAATCCTTATGGCTCCTATCTGGAAGACAATCAGACAAAATCCAAAAATAAACACCAGGATCACAGAGAGCGCCTGTAGTGAGTGTGACACAGACAGTTACTGAGCTAGTGCTTCATGAGCTAGTGCTTCATGAGCTAGTGCTTCATGAGCTAGTGCTTCATGAGCTAGTGCTTCATGAGCTAGTGCTTCATTGAGCTAGTGCTTCGTGAGCTAGTGCTTCATGAGCTAGCAGGTTAGCATTGTCCATATCCAGTCTCTGCTCTGGCCCGGTGAACGGCCCTTTAGGATGTTTGTACATGTTTGCTGAAGTATGTCTCACTGTGTCCCTGAGCCTGCTGCTGCTGAGACCGGACTGCTGAGACCCCAGACTGCTGAGACCGAACTGCTGAGACCCAGACTGCTGAGACCCCAGACTACTGAGACCCCAGACGGCTGAGACCGAACTGCTGAGACCCAGACTGCTGAGACCGGACTGCTGAGACCCCAGACTGCTGAGACCCCAGACTGCTGAGACCCCAGACTGCTGAGACCCCAGAGTGCTGAGACCCAGACTGCTGAGACCAGACTGCTGCTAGTTTGTTTTAGTTAATTGTGTCCATATTTTAACAATGGTGTTTATTCCTGTATTTTTTTTTTTTTACTTTGTTTATTGAACTTTTTGAAGACAGACGTTGTTGGGACAAATAAAAATACAGTGTCAATGCAATCTCAGTTCTTTCAACCCCCACCCACCCTGACCACCCACAGGCCAAAAATAAAATTTAAAATAAATGAAATCATAAAATAAAATATATATTGAAAGTAATAATAATACCAATGATAATATTTTTATAAAGAGAAAGAACAGAGAAGAATAAACATGAATGTAAGTGTAGATAAGCAGAGATAGCGTTTATTCCTAAATTTTTTAACCTTGTTTTATTCATGAACTTGTCTTGTGCACACTTTAGACTTTTGCAAATGTATTCCAATGTGGTTTTACTGCAAATGGCAAATTAAAGAATAGTCTGAAAGCGAAGTAAGTCTATAAGTTTGATTACTTTAACCAGTACTTTCTCGTCACCGCAGACTTTCAGAGTAAGTAGGTAATTTCTTCTTCATTTTTGTTAGTAGCAGTTTTCTCCGACCTGACTCCCCCAGGACAGGCCTACACACAGACTGTAAATACTCACCACCTCTGTACCCTTCTCTGTCTGCAGATATAGAGGACACAGGACAGGGCGGGTCCAGGTCCGCTCCACATGTGAAAGACCTTTAAATACAACCCACAATCCACCACGAGGACAAAGTGGACTATAGAGAAGGATTTCCGGGTCTAAACTCACGTCTCTTCTCCAGGACTTGACTTGCAGCGCTGCGGGACAGGGTGCGTCGGGAGAAGGGGGGGGGGTCCGGGGAAGGGGCGCGGCGCTCCTCTGGGCCCCCACAGAGACGGTCCAGTGTTGGTCCACTCAGAGCGAAAGTGAAAGTAAAAACAGCCCGGCGGACAGACAAAAAAGCAGCGGTGTATTCTCTCCAGTTCAGAGTGTGCGTGGCTGCTCACTAAACTTTCCAAAAACGCAGATGAAAGTAAAGGCGTGTGAGCGACCTCTGCTGTTTTCTCACCGCTATTACACCTGGAATGTGTAAGGCACGCGACTGTTTCAAGCTCATTCATTGTAAAAGGTGGAGGATCACTTTGCCCGTTGTTTTTCCTGGAGCTTGTCTTGGACTTCGTTAAGAACATATTTTTTTGTTTTCCAGTGTTTTTTGGTAATTAAAAGAATATGTTATTCCTTGGATCTGCATTTGGATTCTTTTTATCCAAATCACAACAATTAGCCTGAACTCTCTGTAGCTGTTGGTGTTATGTACTATGGTGTGTGTGAGCGTGTGTTGTTATGGTCATGTTTGTATAGGCTCCACTTTGTATTAACGGCTTATTGAACAAGCACAAGGTCTGTACAGAGAAATATCAGACCGTGATCTGATATTTCTCTGAACAGACCGAGCAAGCGAGGTTAATATGTGTTTTATTATTATTAAATAATTATTATTGTGTATAATTATTAATGTTTTATTAAATTAGTATTTTTAATTTATGAAAATATCGACCGGTTTCAACTAGAAAACACACATGCTACCAAACTGTCTTATCAGATGATTGAGGGCGCCCACTGGTGAGTTCTCAATCTCTTATGTGTCTTTACCAATGCTTTTTAGATATTTGTGAAGTATGTTCATGTCCGACTTGGTTTTCCTTATCGTGTTTTGATATTTCTCTGTACAAACCGAGCAAGCAAGGTTAATACACGTTTTATTATATGAGTATTTTTAATTTATGATAATATCGACCGGTTTCAACTAGCAAACACACATGCTACCAAACTGTCTTATCAGAACCTATCAGATGATTGAGGTCGCCCACTGGCTCTTCTGTGTCTTTACCAATGCTTTTTAGATATTTGTGAAGTATGTTCATGTCCGACTTGGTTTTCCCTATCGTGTTTTTACCTTTCTGGTCTGTAATGAAGTTGTCAATCTCTTCTTGACTGTTAGGAGTTGTGTTTTCGTCGTTATTTTCTGTTATTACTTCCTCTGGCTCTTCGAACTTGTCTGGATCATCGAATTCACTGAGAATGCTCCCAGTCGTCGCTCATTATTTCTTTTTTTTTACAGAAGAAAGATATCAAATCTGATTCCCTGCGGACCAATTGTCATGGTAACGGTCCGGGATGGGAAAATATCAGACCGCAAATCAGCCAATCAGAGCGCGTGTACGATCCAAGTCATATAATAACATGTCATATCGCTTCTGATTTCCTGTGTTTTTATGCTTTATGTGCTGCCCAAACTTAAAGTATCTGAATCGGACTGCTATAAGCTAATAATAATAATAATTCCTCTTAGAAAAACACAAACCAACTTTACTAATACAATGTGTGTAACTTGTATGACTATGACGTTTTGTAAATAAATAAATAATTAATTTAATATACAATGTATCTGTTTTCCTGACCTTGCTCTTCCTCTTCGTGGTTGGTATAATTGGTCTGAGTGAGAAGCCAAGACATTTTTGACGTGTTTAGCAGAGAATACATGGACAAAGATGTGAAAGGGAAACATCAGTGAAACGCCCCCATCTTGTGGTAGAAGTGGGTTATTACATTAAGAACGATACGCGACTGGAGAAAACCCCCAAAACCTGGAGGCAAAACTGACATGTCCTCATAGTTCAATTGGATTTATTTTTGTATCGCCCTAAACCACCACAGTAGTTCGCTCGGAGGACTACAAAGTTGTCAATTCGCCAACACAGATCAGAGAATCAAACCGTTCAAACCAGTGGGGGAGGGTCCCAGCTCAAAAGTGGCCAAAATGACGTGCGCTGACATGCTGCAATACCACCCCGGGCCGATGGGGGTGGACCATGGATGTATTATATTAACTGGATAGGGTATTACTAGCTTGTAGCTGAATAACTCACGTGCTCAGGGGATTCTCGCGGTACTGCAGACTGAACCAGACTGAACCAGACTAAATTCACGTGGGCTACCCAGAAATTTTCCCCATAGAACTCAATGCATATTAAAACAGCTCAACCTCAGCTGACAGAGAACCTACAGCTTTCATAAAGGTCGGATTTTGTGAGGATTTTAGTGTCCCTTGTCGTCCTGAACTTTTTTTCTTCTTAAATCCTTCGGTTTTGTTTAAATCCACACTTTAGTGCCACAAACTCTGCTCGTCTGGCTCTCGCTCAAACTCCCGCTCTGATGAACTGCTCTGATTGGTCAGAGCGCGGCCGAGCCCCTCTGTGCACGTGCGTGAGACCCGGTGTGAGACCCACACACGCGTGTTTGGCGCAACGCATTATGGGAGATCATCCACTGCACAGAACCGGGAGGACCAGACGATGCCCAAATACAGGCGAGTTTCCCATAGATCTTTGCGAGTTCCAGGCGACTTCCGCTAATCTTTCAGCCCCCATGCCGTCTCAAAGCCACTGAGCACAACCATTCATTTGAATAGGGCGCCATCTTGGATCGCCGGGGCTTGGGGTGGACCCAGAAGAAGAATTAGCCAATGCTAACATATAGCATTGGCAGACCTCTCAAAAACGTCTTTACAGGATGGTCCAAAAGTTGGCTCCTGGCCCAAAGCTCCGTTCCACATGTGTGTCAATGCTGAGGGGGGTGGATTTTTTCGGTCCACTCTAGTTTACTTGCTGTGAATTTTTGAAGTCTCTCGTTCAAATGAATGGAGCTGCGCCGGCTGACGCATGCACAGATGCGTTTTTTCACAATTTTCTTGTGGGCGGGACCACTCGCGGCCATTTTGGATAGCTCCAGTAGAGCACATTTTTTGGCCCATTAGTTAGAACGGCGGAGATAGGCGTGACTCTGTCCATTAATATATACTGTCTATGGTTCAAACACAGAAAATGCAATGATAAAAAAATAAAGAATAAACGCAGAGTCAGTGGTCCACGCGGAGCAGAGACCAGGTCCATACGTGTCAATAGAACAAGTTTGAAAAAATTGTTAAAATCTAAAAAAAGAAGACCATAACACCATTTTAATGTGAGCTCGCCTCTCCACAGATCTGACATGGAAGTGGACATTGAAACAGAAAAGTGACACAGTGCAGCTTCAATGCTACAAGATCATATATACACATTATATATATATATCCTTGTAAATCTTTTAAGACAATAAATATGTAGTTACAGACAGTTGGACATAAATAACATGATATATCTGCAGTAAACATTAGGATCAGATCATCGCTAGTAGTGGTGGGAAAATATTGTGTTCAGAATTGTGATATTTTGCACACACAATTAAATCGGTACAGAACAAGTATTTAAAGGAACAATATGTAAAAATCTGGCCAAAAGTGGTACTGCAGTCACAGTCAATATTTTGTAGTCCTCTCCCACTCTCCCTGACTCAGGTTGCCAGATTCACACCAAATCCAGCAGCAAACACAGGGAATTATTTTATCAGTTGTTTGTCCGTCTCCATTCACATTGCCATGACAGCCGTGCTAATGCTGAATGAATGTTTTGATTAATGTTTTTTTATTATTATTATTTGGACATTTGAGATAAAAAACAAAAACAAAATAAAAGCAATGTAATTATACATAGTTTATGCAAAATAAATAAGCAATTGATGTCCAAAATAGGAGTGGGAAGAATGGATGTTGGAACGTATTTCTTCAGCGTATCAACATCAGGGTTTGCTCAAGAGGATATCACCTTTCAATTTTATTTATTCCCTATTTTTTAGACAAACATGTAAAAGTTCCACATCAAAAAGAGACTAACATTATTTTAATTGGGGTACATGTGGTCTTAAATGATTATTTTTACAATTAAGCTATAATCTGCAAAAAAAACGTCTTGACCTTCATCTTTTACCGTTTTTAGAGCAATCTGTCATAGAATGTGATAACATGCAATAAATACAAAAAGACATAGCCCGGGATCGAACCCGGGTTCCTGCGTCGTAGGCGCACAGTTTAGACCACTAGACCACCGATTCACACAAATAGAGACACTGTGAAGAACGGAGTCAAACTAAATTCTGCATCACACGTGAACTTTTATCAGCTGTCTCAATTGTTCAAAGGCATCCCGATATAAATCCTCGTTTTAGTCTTTGTTTTGTCATTAATGATTTGAGAGTCATAACAAGACCTTTTTTAGTTCTGCGCCACATGTTATTTTACCACTGAGATTAACTCATTGACCGCCATTGACGTGGTAACACGTCAAACCAAACCGCTATTTTCACGTTCCCAGATTTCTATTGTATCTAATATGTATGGGGATGACTTGAGACCATATTTTATCAAGCCAGCAGGTGGCAGCATTTCTCTATGAATGGTTTGAAAACAGCCAGATGCACATGTGCCTCTTTTTTCTCAGCTTTCTGGTGATTTCAGTAAAACTTCCCTCTACTCGACTGGGGATTACAGGGGAACAAAACAAGCTAGAAACAAAATTCTTTTTGCTGATGAAAGTAGACAGTCCATTCTTTCAGAATCTATCTGGATTTCAGATAGTCATAGTACACAATATTCTGTGGGTCTTGAAAAATCAGTAAAAATCATCAGAAACGGCTGGCAATATGGGAGTACCTGTTCTGAAATAGGCTGGCAGGCAATGAGTTAATGAGTCGCGCGGAGTTCTGGCAACCCGACCACGGACTTAGATGACACTTCCTGATTGGCGAAACGGCGGAGGGTAGGACATCAAAATCAAAACAATAACAACTTTTACGGGTCGTAAAACTAATTTTGATAATCAAATATCTCGGCTGAACTACTGTTATCAGTTAAAGATGAATTCGAAAAGAGCAGTTTATTATTATGACAGATTAGGGCCCTTTAATGATGACATGAAAATCTTACATATCGTTAATTTAACTAATTTTCTGTTTCCTGTGGTAATCTACATCTGAGGTTTATATTACTCTATGAAGTCTGCTCTTTGTGGCTGGAAGCTCCTGTTCATGCGAGAGTCTATTAAGAGAACGATTCTGTCTTGTAATAATATCCTGGATATTCAAGGATTAAGTGTTTGTAATTCTAACAGTGATGTTAAGAATCGCAATAATACTGAATTGTGGCCCAAACATTGCAATGCTAACGAATGGTCAAAGTTTAGCCAATACCCACCCCTGACCTCAACAGGATGAATCAGAAAAATCTAATTGAATTGTACTGAAGTGAAATGTCAAACATGTCATGAGACCTTACATTTTAAATAACAGTCATGTAAATGCAAACAGCTGAAAATTTGGGCGTATATTTTGGTCGCTAACGGCTACGGCAAAGGACACCGCTAATGCATTGAGCTACAGTATAGAAAAAGGACCAAAGAGAGTGACCGAGAGAGTCCATGTTCTCTGTGTTCTCTGTGTTCTCTGTGTTCTCTGTGCTCTCTGTGCTGTTCATACCAATCCAATCTGTGAAAACTCAATATTTATGTTTGAATTATCTCCGTACACTGCAAAAGATGACAGAATTAAAGACAAAAAAATGCTCAAATTTGGCTAAATGTATCTAAATTTGAGCACATTTTGACTGCCTTAAAACAAGATTTGCCAGTGGAACAAGAAAAATGGTCTTGTTTTAAAAAAGATACAAGATATTTCTCTCTTGGAATGAGAAAATAAAGCAATAGTTCTTGAATCAAGTCAAAATTGCTTGTCTCATTGGCAAATCTCATTTTAAGACAGTCAGAATGAACTTAAGTCAAGTTACAAAAAAACTCGATTCTAGTAATTATGATCTCATATTTGATCATTTTTTGCAGTGTAAGATCCCATCAGCGACTGTCAAAGCTGAAAAAGAACATGAAACTAGAGGCTTCCTTCACTGGAGCCGCAGCATAAACCTAACCTAGCCTTGTACGTACTGTAGGAAAAGTAAAACAAAAGCATGTGGGCAAGTGCGTGAAGCCGTTACCCCCAATTTACACCGAGCGACAAATCTTTTAATTGTATTGATCCTGAACTCACACCAGCTGAGGACTATGTGAGGATGATGTCAGTGCAGGGGCCCGGAAGTCCTCTGAGGGACAGGAAGTAAATCTCTCCATTAAAAACCACGTCAATCTTCACTGATTCTGAGTCAAAATGCAGATTTTCTGTGGCGTGTGCAGATGTGGCAGCTGCTCGTATCGTGGAGAACTAATGGAGTCTCTATTTTGAAGATATTTTTCTAAGGGGTGTCAAATTATAGGAAAATACTGTAGAAAGAACAAAATAAATTATTTGGCCTGTGTAGCATCTGTGTTAGCCTGTGTAGCATCTGCGTTAGCCTGTGTAGCATCTGCATTAGCCTGTGTAGCATCTGCGTTAGCCTGTGTAGCATCTGCATTAGCCTGTGTAGCATCTGTGTTAGCCTGTGTAGCATCTGCGTTAGCCTGTGTAGCATCTGCATTAGCCTGTGTAGCATCTGCATTAGCCTGTGTAGCATCTGCATTAGTATGTGTAGCATCTGTTTAGCATCTGAATTAGCCTTCGTAGCACCTGCTTTATGGTGCTTCCAGACCGGATCGTGC